TTACCATGAAAGCAACAAACACATCCCTTAACCAGGCTGTGATGAACATTGCCAAGGTGGCTGTTAATACAAGACAGAGATACATAGGTAAGTAGATAGGTAGGTAGGTAGGTAGATAGAATAGTTAAATGATAAATAGATGATACACAGATGATGGCTAAATGAACAGATGGATGGATGGATGGATGGATGGATAGATGGATGGGTGGATAGGTAGGTAGGTAGGTGGGTGGGTCGGTAGGTGGGTGCGTGCACACGCATGTATCTGTATTTTATCCATCAGGAACAGCATCCTCGCCTTGGTAGGGCAGCAGCTGCATCTAATCCCACCTATTTGATCTTGTCAGTCTAATGCAGTCTCTGCAGACTGAGCTCAACGTCAGGTTGAGTGCACAGGTCTCAAGTCAGAGTCTCTGGCACTCTCAGCTAAGTGGAGCAGAAAGTTATGTTGGAGAAAAGAACCAGCCATGGAAGCTTATCATTTCAGAAAGTTTCCTGACTGCCCAGGGTTCATGCTGTTTCCTCCTAAGCCTTCTTTTAAGCACCAGAAAGAAGAAAACAGGGAGTTGGAACATCAGGTGCGACATTTCCACCTTTTCACAGAAAAGTGCACAGCTTGTCAACTTTCCCTCTGTGAATGTTCATCCCTTCAATGACTGGTCCACACTGCGAAAAAGCAGCAGGTAAACATAGGTCATTTCTGCTGCCGAGTCGGCACATCCCAGAGCAACTGCCAGCATCCCACATGGAACGGTGACGGACAAAGTGTGAAAAAGGACTCCTAGAGGTTCCTGTCCCAGAAAAAACAGGTTTCTCTTTTTTTTGTTAAAAACAGAAGTTACATACTGGCACGTAATTTAAGCCAAATAATGTTTAAGGAAAACCACGGATACTTCCCCAGTCTCTGTAAGAAGCCACCTGGGATGTTTGTTACCCTGGCATGCTGCCTTCATATCCGCGGCCCTTAGTCTCAATAAAACCAAACGCTCCACAGATCTTCCCGAGCTGGTGTTTTGTCACTTCTGCCAGTAGGACTTGGTTGGTCCTCTCCCATTTCATCGCGTGTCTATCAGAAGCTGAGTTTTTCACAGCAGGACACAATGACGTGAGTAAATAGATTACTAGATGATCCCCTCTCCCTTTTTCTTGTGCTCAGGCTGACTCACTCATTTAATGCCCCTTTCACATATGAACACAAGCACACAACACCTGCCTTATTGCACTGTATATAAAGTATCACAGACCTGCCGATTCATGAGATTGCATATATAGCATCAAGCAAAAATTTCCCAAATGCCTTTGTGAATGGCCAACAAGAATGACGCTAACAGTCTCAGGGGCGTGGGGGGACTTGTGATATCAAACCTCCAAAGTGTGCCGAGGGCCCATGCAGACCCATAGTCTCTCTATATATTTGGGAGCCCCTGGCATTACTGGGCAGGCTTGCGGGTAGAAGTATGTGGGACAGAAAAGGACAGTCCTGGTTGACAATGACCGTACTGAGCATGTATGATTTATGATGAACACCACCACTTACTGTCTGTACTTACAGGTCCCACCCTCCATGCGACAGTCCCATAAAACGCTCCAGCCCGGGGGGACGTCAACAGGCTCAACCTGCACCCCGCTCAAGGCCTGCTGGTTCTGAGTTCCCTTATGGGAGATGATTGGACTTGACGGGGCCATCTACTGGCTCTAGCTCCAGCTCCTTCAAGGTCACCTACCTCCCTTTGTGGCACCCTTGCTGGGACAGGGGCCAGTCACAGCTCTCAACCCCTCAAGACCCCATTCAAGTCTAATGCTAATAATGCTCATTGTCCATTGGGAAGGTGGATGGAAACATGCATTAATCATCACTTTTGCCAGAAACTTCCTTCTGTCTGGGACACTGCCCTCAGAATGCAGGACCCCTTTTCCCAGCCTGCACTGAGCCTCTCCACAGGCCAGCTCTACACCCACACCCACAGAATCTATTTCTAGCAGACCAGACAGAGGGAAAACACGATCACTTTACATTTTCCAAAGATAAAAAAAAACACCTTTAACTGCTAACACCATTGATGGCCTGAAAAAGCAAACGCACTCTGTCTTTGCTCCAATTACCTCATTCTCTTGAAGCAAAATGAAATCTGAAACTATACAGAGGTCCTGCTGCCGAAGGAAGAACATTAGCATAAATATTGGCTTGGCGGAACTTACATTTTTCTTGCACTCCCAAAACTGAAGTGCTTTTTACTTTTTTTTCCCTTCCTGCCTCATGCATTTTCTGAACATCAGCAAAAAACTAGTTTTGCAATCAGAAAACTGCTCTGGCCTGGCTTTTAAATCTGGCCGCTGGCACCTATTGGAGAATTGATCAGGGATAACTACTTCTGACTTTAAAAACTCATGTAGTAAAGTAAAATAGCCAGTCCCCAAAGAGAGGCCGGAGCTGGGGTCTTGTTGGTTAACAGAGCTGGCAGGTGACCGAGGACCTCATTTTCATAACTGGGACATGTGGTGTGAAATGGTCTTGTAAGCAGCTTCAAAGAAACCTGTCTGTTCATTGTATTTTCCTCAGCTTGCATGTGCAATTCTGATCCCTACCATCAAAAACGGGCACAAACACATGGCAGCAAAAACGCACTCAGGCTGAATGAAGCCGCCAGTGGACTGAAGAGTCAGGTCTCGGTCTGGGGGGGTCTTCATTACACCGTGACAGACACAATGACGTGTAATCCTGGTGTGATTTCTTCTTTGAAAGAGTCTACCATCTGCAGGGTTCTCCGGTCTGTGAAATTTAGAGCTGGAGTTAACCAGTGGTCCTACCAACTTGCCTGCATCGCTGCGGCCTTGCAGAGGTGCCCCTCGCTCTCCCCCGCCATCCTTCTTTAGCTATGAATTTCTCATCCGTGGAATCCACCTGCCATGCAGGCTGAGCCAGGCCTGCCTGCAGTGTCTGGTTTCAGGACAAAACGCCAAGTGCATTAAGGTGAGCTATCTATCTCCAACGAGAGCTGATCCAAACTGCAGGGACATGCTATGCCCAGGGCCCAGGACGATGGCCGGACCCGCAGGAGGCTCTCCTACGGATGGAGCACTTGCATGTCCGTCTGTCCTCTGCGGCCCTTACACTGAAGGTGCTGTAAGTGTTCCTTACCTCTTTCCTTCCCTGCATCCCGGGGTACCATGGATGCTCCGGACCTCCCACATATTCTTCCCTCGACCTGGAGCAAGGTGCCCGTTCACTTGGCCCACAGGCTGTGTGGGATTTCCATGTAGTCTCACAGCACCCGTGCCAGCCAGGTCATAGAGTCCAAGACACATGCAGCTCTGTTCACCTTTCCCACCTGACTGGAAGCTCACTAAGGGCAGGAAACACCTTTCCCACATTGTGTATGTTAAATGCTCCCGAAGAAATAACAACAACAATAGCCTGATCATCTTCTCACAGGGGTTCTTCTTAACTGTCACCCCGATAGTCTGTCTAAAACAGATCTTTTTCTTAGATATAGAGAAGTCTTTAACTGCTAATGCCGCTGATGGCCAAGAAAAGCAAACACGCTCTGGCTTGCTGCAATTATCTCCTTCTCTCACAGTGAAATGAAATTGGAAATCTTACAGAGGCCCTGTGTTGCGGGAACAGCATTAGCACAGTGTCACTTGAAGGGCTTTGATTCTAAATTCGTCAGTGTGCCAAAGGAGACCTTTGTCAAGCAGGCCCCCAGCTACGCCGTCCTGCCTCACATGGAGGCACAGGCAGGCCAGGTGCCTCTCTCTTTTTCTTTTTTAGTAGAACATACTTTTGTACCTATGAATTAGCCCCAGCCTACAGACCTATCCTATCCTCCAGCCTTATGTGGCCACCTTCCTCTCCTGGGTATCACCTGGAACTTGCATCTGTGCATCTTACCTGTGCTGTGCATTCAAGGTTCTGTTCCCTTTGCCTTAGCCATGAATTTGTCACTTCTGCCCTGTGCTGCTGGCTTACTTTGCTCTTGTCCTTACTGCGTATTTTCACCCTGTAGTGCTTAGCTTAGCCTCATGTCACCGCTCCAACAGGAATGTGAAGCCCAGTAGACAGAGGGCAGATGGTGTTTTTGACCCAGTACCTCATGCAGTGCCTGGCTCCTCAAAGTTGCCCAACAAACATTTGCTCAATGGAGAAGTAGATCGTTATGCCCAAGAAACTTGAACACACTCATCATGGTACAGTAGCAATGAAAGGGCTATACTATGTAGTGTCCCCTTTCTTAAGAGAAAGCACCGATGTGGGGGTAAAAAAGCAAGGAGAATTCAAGAGAAGTTCAGAAATGGTTCCGACATTCCAATGTGTCATCAAACACTGTCGGGGACTGAGCTATGGAAATGTAACAGAGGAAAACCCCAGCGGCGCAGTTAGAATTCACCTCCACCTGCAGGTTGTCTCCCAAAGGCAGGAAGAGAAATGGGAAGCAATACCATCAACATGGTGGGCGGCCGCAGCCAGGACACAAACCTCCTGCAAGTACCCAGAGCCCCCAGAAACATGCATCACGCACCTCCCACATGCAGGCGCTACTAGGTATTGTGGAGGGAGGGAGGGAAAGAGACGCCAAGACGTCACCCTAGCACAGCTGCAGAGTGTCCACTCTTACGCCCTCTAGCGCCTCTGGAAGCCCCTTCTGGTACCCTTCCAGGTTTACTCACCTCCTCAGGGAAACCTCCACGCTCCACTCCTAAACCTCACTCCACACTCACCCGATCCTTTCTCTCTCTTCCTGAAGCTCTTGATCCAAATCCAGTGCAATGTTTTCCCCTGTGTGTGCACCCCTCCCACTAGTCTGTGGGCCTCTCATGGGCAGAAACGCCATTTTCCATCTTTGTATGACCTGCTTCCAGCCCACAGGATTGACAGAAAGGAGGTGCTTGGTAAATGTCACCTGAATTGGTTCCAGTTGCTATGCTCTCTCTCAGAAATTGCACCTACACCTTCAGCATCCTGTGAAAATGAGCCAAACATGACAGCAAATGCACTTTACCTCTTTGAGGACCAGCACGCATTTGCCTGGTCCCACGGACTGAGGTAGCTCTGCGATTCTCCCCTTGTTTAGGTAAGGGCCTGAGAAACATCTGTGATTGATGAAAAGCTGAGGACAGCAGTATTTCCCGTTGGCAGTACCTGCAGAGAAGAGGAACACAGCGGGTGCTTTAAGAACCAACAAAAACTTGCTTAATCCCCTTGGTTGGCAAAACTACCCAGAGGTACACTGTGTCTTAACATCAGAACGTTTTATATCCCCAATAACACCTTAGAAATGCTGATGATTTTTTCAACTGTATAAAAGAGCTTTTTTGTTTATTATGCAGGATTCAAAACACACACACACACACACACAAATGCAAAAACTAAGACAATGATAACTAAGGTATCACTGTGCAGGGTAAGGATACAAAACACCAGTTACACAGCTAGGTTCCCCTGTGTGTCCTGCCCCAGAAACTCCTCCAGGAGGCAACCACGACCCTGCATTGCCATGGGTCATTTCCACGCAAATCGATAAACTCAACCACACACATACATGTACATGTGTAACAAGCAATATATGTTTTTAAAGTATGTACATGTGTAACAAGCAATATATGTTTTTAAAGTATTCCATAAATGGGTTTCTGCAACATTTTGTTCAACATGAAGTTTCTGAGATCCACCCAACTGGGAAATGATTATCCCAAACATTCATTTACTTTTCAATTCTGTGTTACTCTACTGTGTGAATACATCACAGTTAAGTTTTCCATTCTCTCATTGATGAACATTAAGTTGTTTCCACTCTCTCAATATTACCCATGGTGTCTTAATGAATATAACTGTAAAAATCCACTCTGTTTATGAACAAGAGAGTCTTCCAAGTATATAACAAGGCATCTGCGTTATCTTCCATTTTACTGGACATGGCCAAACTGTTCTCCCAGTGACTACCCAAATTGATCCTTGAATAAGCACTGTGTAGGAGATCCTAATAGGAGTTCCTAGTGTCCACATCCAGGCCAACACTGGGCATTGGACAGCATCTTCATTTTGCCAATCTAATGGATGTGATATGCTCCTTACAGTGGCTTAAGTTCACATGTCCCTCATTATTCTTTCAACTTAGAAAGTGAACAGGGCAAGTAGTTTGTCTAGTTGTGTTTCAAACTGCGGGTGGGAAAAAGGAGGATAACTAAATGGTAAGATATCACTCCAAAGCTTCTTGATGCCTTAAAACACAGAATGTGGGTTCACTGTCAGCTAAGAGATTCATGGCTCTCCCACCACTGCTCCAAGCTAAACTCACAGTGGTATTTCTGTACAAAAACTGTTATAATTAAGATGTGAATTTACTAGTCCAGGAAGGTTTGTTACCATAGGACGTCAACTAAGAACCAACAGGTAAGGAGAGAGATATGTTATTTTCCTGGATATAAGACAAAAGGAGTAAAATAACAATTATAGACTCTGAAAGAGTAACTGACACGGTTCTTTTAAAACCATTTTGAAGTCTGAATTCTTTACAACAGGCAAAAAAGTTAACTCCACAGCTGAAATGACATGGAAACTTTTTGGTAGGATTATTTTGCCCATGCTTTTAGAACAAAACAATTTTAGTAAGTCTACTCATAAAACTGCTCTCTTTAGGACAACGATAACTTCGACTAAGGCTTTTTCCATGGCACATAGATTTTAATCCTGGAATTCAAAGCAGGTTTCATTTTAGCTAGAGAATAGAATTCTTAATCAAATATATTACTTAATGAACAAACATGTCTGTAATCAGATTTGTGGTTAAAGGGCAAATCACATTCATGTTTTCAAAAGTTTTTGTAAGATGCAGGACTTTATACATTAATAGACATATATTATTCACAACCAGCTATTCAAACACAGAAAGTTTTAAGAAATAATTGAAAAGCCCGCAGGGACTTAAGCATTAACCATTAGTATAAAAATGCAAGTGGAACTGGCATAAAATGTAAAAAAAAGGAATGCCAAACAATGATATTTTCAATTTTTTTTCATATGATTTTCAATGATACATAGTCTCAATTGGGCTCATAATTTCCAAGGAGCACATGGAACCCTTTCCTGTAAACCAAGAGGTTGTCTAGAGCTACTGACCAGGAAGCAGAAAATAAGAGGGATGGAGAATGTAGCTTAGAATATTTTTTTAAGAGTAGGTAGGTATCTGTTAATAAGCAGCAATAGAAAAAAAAATAGGCTTGAAGTTGAGATACTCTTCTATTGACCTAAAAATATATGCATGTCTCCACTCAGCAACAAACTGGAAAGGGACAGAGAGCCCTAAATGGGCTAATTTACCTGTGGTGTCCAAGTGAGGGAATAAGCAAAGGTCATGAGGTATTTTGTCAGCAGGCACCATGGATGGCAATCTGTTGATAAAGAAATAAAACTCTCATGGGTCACACACTTTAGAAGAAACCATGACATTCCAAAGTCTTTTTATAACTTACAGCAACCATTTGGGAAATCTAAGCTAACGTTCTAGTAAGATTGGATGTGTGCATCTAGGAGCAACATCTGTAAGAACACATAAAAGATCATTTGGATACGTTGTTCTCAAATTCTTGTAATAACCTTAAGGAACCTATGGAACAACTGACCCTCAAACGACTCAACAGTGAGGTTTCTTCTAGGTCGCTCCTGGGCTGGTCTCTTGTTATAGAATTATAATATTTCAGACATGAAGAAACATCAACTTATTATACATTGACTTCAATTAAAGTCAGGCTTCTCTTCCATGTCTAACTGAAAATCACTTTCTGCTGACCTTTGATTTCTGGTGTCTGTGCTTGTGTGGATCATGGTCACAGTGAAAGCAAGACCTTCAAAGAACACCTATGAACTGATGATTCTCAAAATGTAAAGTACACTTACTCGAGGACAGAAGTCTAAGTTACAGTTCAGTAAAAAGTTGCTGAATAAAATAAAAAAAAGTAGCCTTAGGTAAAAAGAGATGAATTGAGATTTCACAGGGGTACTCAAGTTGGCTAGGCAGAAATCACAGTTGAAATGCTACGCAAACTCAAACCCATACAAGACATCTAGTTGGGTCACCTACGGCATGGGCTCCCAAAGTGGGGTCCCCCAACTGGCAGGTAAGCATCACCTGAGAACTTGTTAGACATGCAGATGCTCGGGTCCCATTGCAGACATCCTGAGACAGAAGTCTGAGAGATGGCAATTTGTGTTTTAAAGAGCTGTCTAGGTGACTGATGCAGACAGGGTGAGACCCACTGCATCCGCAGACTGCAAATTTAGGAGTTACAAATTCAAATTTGGATTCAATGATGGGACTATTATTTTATGATTTACTCTCTATTACGTTATCCAGATAAAACTGGAGCCAGATTATTAACCTGATACACTGTGTATAGAAATGAATGCACAAAAAGTACCCACAAAATTGTTATTCACATTCTAGTAACAACGCAGTTATCGTTTAATTTCATTTTATTTAAACTTGGGTACATGAAAAAAATGCTATTTTCAACTCGCTTTCCACCAGCACATTAAGAAAACAGAATTGCTTGGCGAGGCATGTGCATTTCAGTGTAGTTTAGATATTTTCCAATATATAAATATGTTAGCAACAGTTACAATGTTTCAAAAACAAACTGCCGTCATCTACACACACTGCCTGAATACCCTCCTTCCTCATTAAATTACGCACGAAATGTGGGATTATCTATATTTATTCAACAGCGTAGGGCCTACAAATGTCTTCACGTGGAATCTAATTTACCGTCGTAAAAACCCCGAGAAACAGGTATTTTACAAATGAGAGCATTGAGAGGCAGAGAAATAAAGCCACTTGCTCAAGCTCACCCAGCTGAGAGGTGGCAGAGCAAGGTGTCAGACTGAAGTCCCTGCCCACCAGGCCTGGCCATGACTAGGATGGTGGACATGCTGGGTGGGGACAAGGGCAGCTCTGCGCGGCTTCTGGAGCACTAACAACCACCGTCACAGGAAGTCATTACTAGCAATGAGTGAGACTGGGGTGTCCTTCAGGTATGCTGAGGTGGAATCAAAGGGACACATTACACTCTGGAGTAGGAATTCCTTCAGAAGCAGGCCCTGGATCCTGCACATAGTAAGTGTACAATAAATAACAGTAGATATATTCTACTATCATCTTCGCTACTGTGTATGTGTTAACTAACTAACTAACAAAAACAGCCATGCTTGCCATCTTCTATAAAGACACTCCACAGCTTATCACGTAGCTTTTGGAAAAAACAAACAAAAAAAACTTACTGTTTTTCTGGTTGCACAACTGCAACCTTTCTCTTCTTTTGTGCTGTAAAATAGGCAAAGAAGAAAAAGAAAAAAGAAAATCAGCTTTGTTAGCTAGTTGGCAAAAGCATTTTTAAAAACGACTTAGTATAAAACTGCCAGTTTTAAAGTAACAAATTAAATATTGAAAAGTTATTTCATTTATGCCACAATTTTATCTCAATTTCTTCTAGCATAAAATAGACTTTCTTATCAGAAATGAAGTCTAAGTAAAATTTAGTACATTTAATCTTATCACTACACTGTCTATTTTATTTTAAAATGTGATTTTAATAAGAAAGAAAAAGAGTGCACATATCACACCTCACAAGAACACACTTGGTAAGATAAATTGTTGCAAGCACAAATATCCAGATGATTTCCCCCACCCCCTGCCGCGCACAGAAAGTGTGATAAGTCAGATAATGTTACCATAACAGCTACTCCCAAATTAGGATTACAGGTGGGTTTTCAAAATAAAACATTTTATTATTGAAAGGAGGATTGAGTTCTAGCAAGTATGTCTGTCAAATATTAACATAAACCAGCCAACCATAATTTTTTGGATAACAACATTTCCAGTTTATAACTGATTAGAATCACCTTAACAAACAGGCCAGAGCTTCTAGCATCTATGAATTTTGGCACAAATAATCCTAAATCTTCCAACGTAAGTGTAAATTAACCCCAACAAAACTTCTAAAGTTGTCTGAGTTTGGTGGGTTTTGACTTGAGAGTTTGCCACAGGAAAGCAAAATGCATGTATATGAAATAAAGCAAGAAAAAATAGGAGAAGTAGACACTCAAAGTTTATCTGCTCTTGATTTCACTTAGTATTCAGTTCCAGTTTTACTATGAAAAAGTACAAATTTGTGATCTCTAAGGCAAAAAATGAGTACAGAAAAACTTGTCTAACTCAGGCTTTGCTAGTAAAGGCGGGAGTGTCTGAATTATGTCATATTTTGGTAAGGAGCCAAACACCACGGGCCTGGATGCAAAATGCAAAACAAAGAGGAAACATTATGTTCACATTAACCCATATGTGATTTGGCTCCAGAAACACGTGAAGGAGAGAGGAAGAGGATACAGGACAGGAGGTTCTGCCAGAGGCACAACTAAGACACAGGGGACTGGGCCCCAAAGCCAGGGAGGACCTGACTGTTGGCCATGCTGGCAGACTGCCAAGAACATGCATCAATTTAAGTGAGGAGAAAAGAAGAAGAAGAAGAAAAAAAAAAGAATGTCTTTGAGACTGAAAAAGTTATCTTAAGCTCAAAATTTTAGAAATATGTTTAAGTAGGGGGAAGATGTTACTTTCATTGGGTGAAACTCATTGAACAGTAGAGTTTCTGTCAGGGAAGAACCCCTGAAAATCCACCTCCGTCTACAATCTGAGCTACCTTCTTGATTTCACAGCGTCCCACCCCACTCGTGATAAACATCCAGTAGGAAGGCTTCAGGTTCCCTTCAAAATCTGCTGATGTTAGGGAGTAAGAGGTCAACTGTGAGATAGCAACGTTGTGAGATTCTACATAAGTGTACCATACAGGACAATTAGTACACACACAGTGTACATGCTGCTGCACTGCTAGACAGCACTAAAGCTAGCACCCAAAGTACATAAAGAAACTATGAGAAATACATAATCTCTTTTATAAAAAATTAAACCCCAGTATCTTTAAGGACCCACAATTTTAAACACCATATCTCCCCATGTATAAGACGCACCCTTCTTCGAAAAATTTGGGGTGTAAAAACTGGGTGCATCTTATACAGTGGTTGTATGGGTGCAACAAGAAGCGCAAAAAAAGTGGGAAATGCAAGTAAAAAAATCTACAACCACCGTATAAGATGCACCCGGTTTTTACACCCCAAATTTTTCGAAAAGGGGTGCGTCTTATACATGGGGAAATATGGTAATTTTTTGATACACCTTAGGGTAGATAAAGCAGGGGTTGGCAAATTGCAGCTCGCTCGCGAGCCACATGCGGCTCTTTAGGTAGTTCTGTCTCAAAAGTTTGCTAACCCCTGGGGTAGAGTAATGAATGGTAAGATTTATTAGGTCTGAAGATTTTTCAACAGCACCATTTCATGATAATGACCTATAACAACATACGTTAAAACACACTGTTGTATATAGAAGTATGTGTGCTGCTGGGTTGTTTAACTACTAGTATTGTTTTAATTTGGTATTTCTGTGATCAGAAGGATGTGACATAAAGTACAGTTGAAATCTCACGGGTTGCTTAGTCATAAGAGTAGCTCAGTGTTTATATCTAGGTCAATAAATGACCGGGACCAATGATGACCCTTTTAGGGGAAACCTCATGAGAAAAAGTAGTCCTTTCTGAGATATAACATAAAAATATAGTATTTAGCTTAAATTTTTTTAATCAAAATAATGAACTGCATGTAAAACTGGGAGTGAAGAGTCCAGATATTGAGCCTGTGCCTTCAACTGTCTCATCACCGTGACTTAGTTTGTCACCGTCAGCCTGTGAAATGCTTCCAAATATTCATCTCACGCGGATACTTCAAGGATAAACGAGATAAAAATATTGGCGCTCTATGGAAAATCTAAAGTCTTTTTTTTTTTTGTTGTAAATTTTCACAATTTGTCCACACTACCTTTACAAAACAGCCTATTCATTCACCCCGACCCCAGATGTTACCCGCCCAAGCTCCAGACTGGGTGATACTCACAGGCTGTTTTGTGTGGTGTGGTCAGAGGGTACGAATTCGCTTCACACCAGCCCACCGGGAAGATGTCCATGGATTCAACGTCAACAATAAATTCTGGAGCGGGAGTCTGCAGACCTGCATTAGAAAGTCAAGACGACAGGTACAGACAGGCTTTACCCACAAAGGCACTGAGGAAGAAAGGGACATACAGAGCATCCCTGAGACTGAATGTTACACATGAAACCAACAGCGGTCTTATGACAGATATAAGTGCCTGAGTTATAACACAGCAAGAGTACAAGGGGTTCAAATAAAGCGGGGGTCTGGAAAAGAGAGGCACTTCCCGCTGAAAACGGGAGGAGGAAGTAACCGAGGAACAACTGGCCTCCAAGCCGGAAAAGCTGGAAGAGGGAACGAGTCCCCTCTTTTCCTAAGAGAAGCTTTGAAATGGAAGGCTGTGGCTGATTGTGCGGTGGGGCCACAGGGCCCACGTTTCACCCAACACCAAGGGAAGGTCAATGGTCAACAGAAGAAAGTGAAACGTCACTGTTGAAAGGAACTAGTAAGACTCTATTGGGCCGGCCGAGTGGCGCGATGGTTAAGAACTGGCTTGGGACGCCAGAGGGCCCCGGTTCGGATCCCACATATGAGGGCCAGTGACACTACCATGTGTAGCCAGCAGCCAGCGTGAGCGGCCAGCAGCCGCAGTGAGCGGCCGTCCAGAAGCCGGCGACTGATCTGCCTCGCCCGGGAGGAGTGCAATGATGGTGCCAACTTGGGCCAGTGAAGCGACGTCCTCCACAACTAGACAGAAGAACAAAGATGACAGCAACTTGTCTGTTTCCCTTCCCCCAATTCCCCAGCGCTGTTCCCATCCCCCAAAATCCCCAATAAAAATCTTAAAAAAAAAAAAAAGACTCTATAACACCACTTAAGAGCAGCAAACACAGATGACACGGATTCTCCAGGGAACGTGTTCCCTTATCAGTTTCACTGGGATTATGTATTTTGCACTCAGTTTGTGGCCAGCCGACTTTTGCCACGTGTCACAGCAACGTCATTTACGTACTACTGTCTTTTGAACGGGGGTCTGCCAACCTATCACATCCTGTTTCCTAATCGTAATAATCAGCGTCATAGCTGAGGCTCTGAAAAAGAAACGAGACCTGGATGCAACCTTAGCTAAAGTTTCAAGGCGCTCTGGCCACTGAGAGAATAAATTTGAAACCCAGCAAACCAGTGAAAAGAAGAAAATTCTACACGGAATCAATAGTTCTTAAGAAAAAAAAAAAAACTCTAAGGAAAGGCACTTTGGAACCAAGAATCAAAAGGTTCTTAACAGTGACTCACTGGCTCTGACACTTAATCTTGCTCGGTCTCGGTTTCTTGACTGAGAATCAAGATGGAAGTAACACCGAAGGAGCCCTCACACGTCCCCGTCATCACACAACGTGTGATGGATTCTGAATCCTCACTTCGTAAGGCTAAACACCAACAAACACAAAATGGTCCAACCCTTTTTAACTCTGGCGTTCACTACAGTTACATTGGTTCCCAACCTCTTCTCACCATCTAGTAGATATTGTGAAAACGGAGCATGTTATTTGAAAACAAAGGTTCCCAATTTAGTGCTAAACCAATATAAAGTGTATAAAGTGCCCTGAACGCTCTTTCAGCAGATTGTCACGCACACATATTATCAGTGCCATTAGCCACTCTGAATTTGATTTTTTTTCTTCAAAGAAAGCAATTACCGATGATCAATCCTGCCTTTTGCTTGATGCTCCTATAATTTAAAAGATACATCAGCTAAACGAATGCAAGCAACTTACAGGGATGATTTTTTCAACACAGCTGAATGACTAGAAATTGTTTCTGTCTCATATTATATAACCGAATTGTGAAAACAAACGGACACACCGTTTAAAATGGAGGCCAGACAAACTCTCATGCTCACGTGACTCAATATGCACTACTGACCCCAACAGGAAGAGGACCCAACAGGAAGTCGCCCCAACAGGAAGAGCCGTACTTCGCATCTCCGACAGGAAGTGATACTACTTTACTACCTGGGCTGGAGGAAGATTCCTATTTGCCCAGTAACAGCTCAGCCAATGGGAAGTCACTATACTTTGAACGTTCAGTTTCCTCCAATGAACTCTTCGTTTACAACTGTCCCCTTAAAAGAATGTTTTTCTCCCTTGTTTCTGGATTTTCCTGGTTCGCCATTAGACCACATGTCCCAAATTACAAATCTTTGTGGTTCTCAAATAAACCAACTGTGCTGGAGAAACATCTAGCTGTGTGATTGTTTAAGATCAAGGCAGCCAATATTGAACCTAGTTGTCAAAGAAATCACCAAATAAATAAAAAGACATCCAAAACAAACCAAAGGTAAAGAAACTCTCCAAGTAACTTCAAATGTGGAGGTGATTTTTCTTGTCCTGAAAGGGTACATGATTCTCCGAAGAGTGCAATAAAGAGAGTCACTGGGCTGTTTTCCCATTTCACAGGGCATGTTCTATTTTCAGACTCACAAAAATAGCCTGTTCCTTAGCTACTCAACAATTTTGCTAACAGGCTGATTTCATCTACCAGATATATCTGTATTTCCAGATTTATGTCTGGCTACAAACAAGATTTTCAAGGTCAAAGTAGTACTTCAAAAGGAAGCATAAAGTGAACTTGATAGCTTATTCCTTCCTGAATTACGACTTTGTCTTCCAATGTAGTGCTGGTTCAAATATCACATCATATTAATACTTTAATATATACACTTCCGTAACAATGTATACATTAATATATTTCTAAGGCTGCCTGTACAGTGCTTTAAAATACTTTGCTCATGCTTTCCAACCATTAAACAAATATTCATGAGCTACAATATGTCAACTACTGTATATACTCAAGAAGGTTATAGTCCTGCCTTCCTTTCACCCCCAAATCTGGCCCATTAAGGCATGTATTAAACAAGAACTAATGGAAAAGTGGGTTATTTATCATCCAGGAAAGTTTTCCTAATGCTGAAGCTTTTCTAAATTCTATGATGGGTACCAATTCTTTATTTCCCCTTTATAAACTTTATGAATCTAAATACATCTGGCTGGACTTAGAATAGTCTTTTAAAACACAGACCCTTTATTTTCTGAGATTAGCGACCCAGTAGTTTACAAAATAATCCATTAAAAATGTACGCAATGTTGCTTTCCAGGATTGCCCAAACTACCTCTGCAAAGCTAGGTGTTCCATGAAGGCCACTGCAATATTATCATTTCATAGAAAAATCTCTTACGAACAACACAAGAATGTGTTCAAACTCTGACTTTGTTTCAGCTGCATCAAGTCAATATGGGTTCTACTCAATTCATGCTTATCCAGAGCCTTCATCTCAAAAACTATCAGGAAGCCTCAACTTCCATTTATGGGGAAGAATTTAAGTTATTGATGGAATATAATGCCACTATAAAAAAAAAGTAAAAAAAAAAAAAAGTATGAGAAACCTCTTTATATACTTACATGTAACAACATACTCGTATATGGATTGTTAAATATACAGTATTCAGCCAGGTACAGAACACTGTGTATACATAGTATGCTACCATCTGTTTAAAAGGGAGAAAATAACATATATTTATATGTACGTGAGATAAATCTGAAAGGAAATGCAAAATACCAATATAGCAGGTGTTTGCTGGGACAGGAACTGAGTGACAGGGGGCTGGGGGGAACAGGGCTGGGAGAGAGAATCTGACCAAAGATCCTTTTATGTTATTGTTGGCCCTTGTGAATGAATTACCTGTTTTACAATCACAACTCACTTATCACCACAATAACAACACAAGATATTCAGAGAAGAAAGAAGGGGTCTCACACATGAATACGGTATTGTCACAGAGGTCAGATTAATTAATGAGGGACAAGTTACCTTAAAAAGAAATAAAGCTAACCTGTGAATCATGTCACTACTAAGAGGAGAAGGACTTTCCAGACTCGCAAAGCGAATGTACAAGTAAGAATCACTTTGGAACCTTAAAGTAGTTTCGCAATTTGCTGTATCTGGAGACTTTGTCCCCAGAGCAGCAGATACCATCCACTGCCACAAAGTGCCACTTGCCCTTCTAACTGCAGAGACTGTGTCATGGCTTAATCCAGCAGATGACTCAGGGCACTGCAATAGAATCAGTGATTTGTTCTATTCAGAACATCAGCACGAAAAAAAAAAAAAAGGAGACAGCTTGTGATGACGCTGAAGTATCTTCTTAGAAACACAACCTTACCAAACTCCTGATGTGACATAATTGCTCCATTCCCAGCAAGTTAAGGAAGAGAGCACGCATGAGCTAGCATGGGGGTGCGAGATGCTGCTGGGGGACCAGAGGCCGGAGGGGTGTGAGGGGAGAGGCCTGTGGAAGGTAAATGGTTTTCACTGACTCCAGTAACAGAATTGGAACAGCCCCTGCATTTCAGTTACAAGCAGGGATGAGAAGAAAGGGAAGAGGTATTTAAGGAAACAAGTTAACCTTCCGCAGTACCCTCATTAACAGTTAAAGGTCACCCCAAATTGTGATGGGCTCAGTGTGCGGCTCAAAGGTAAAGCACTAGAAGAATGAAAAGCTAGTTGATTATCCGTGAGCAACCAAGGCCTGGATGCTGGAAAGCCCACAGGCCACCTGTCAGGCTTCTTCCCTTCCATCTGCAGGTGTCTGTCTAGGAATAAGATTTAGAGCATCCCCTCGTCAGCTCCGGAGCTCAATTCCTACAGAATAAAGTCAGGAGCAAAACTGTGGCTGGCAAGGTCAAGATATGACAGAAAACAGACAATCTAAAGGAAAACCACACACATGCCAGTGAAGTGTGTGTATGGAGAGACAGAGAGATACCCTTAGGACACTGCAAATACGTACAGCACTTACTACAGGCCAGACACTTTTCCAAGTGTTTAATCCTCGCCATGACCCTAAAAGATAAGGATTGTTTTCATCCTCATTTTATGGATGAGTAAACTGAGGCACAGAAAAAGATCAAACAGCCAGCAAGTGGCAGATCCAGGATTCGAACCTAAGCAGTCTAGCTCCAGAGCCATAGAAAATATTTGAGGTAGGCAGCTTTCTCTTGCTCTCGTTTCTGTTTCTGGT